TGCAATCGTGAAGAACCTGCACGTGGAAATGGATTCGGACAAATATGCACAAGGTGTCCGGGGACGAAGGAAAGTAGATGGGTAAGTGGAAGACCTATCGGAAATTTTACGGATGTAATTAATGTTGTGAACAAAATGTTGGCACACTACTGCATGCCCTTACACAGACGCTGCTCATTCTGTCTCACATTTTCGTCACAACAGAACCACTTTCGGCGGCAGAGCTAATAGCGTACGGACAGTGTCGTGGAGGTGCACAACGGTCTATCAAATAAGCCGATATATATATATATATATATATATATATATTACACCGACNTATTACACCGACTTGTAAACAAGCATGGTGCCCGCGCCACAACAATAATAACAATAACATGAGGTAGGTGGGTTTAAATACAGAGCAAAATGGGAAGAAGGTGGAACCGTTAAAATAGAAAAAAGTAGGTAACTGGGATGATGGAATGAAAATGTCGCTACCTTTAAATCAGGTTTTACTGGATCAGCAATGAGAAAATTATCAACTGCGGCAGTACATGAAAGCCGACCAGTATGGGTAACACGAAAACGAATGACGCCCCTACCGCGGGCTCAGTGTTGTTGTAGATCGCGTGACAATAGAACGTTTGTGGGTTCGGAAACGGCCGATGGCAGCCACGCTCGAATCGAGACAGTGCGCTGATGATTGTGAGCAACATGAAATAATTAGCACTATCCAGTATTCCATTTTTATATCAGTTGGTGGATATTACACGAGATGCCGTCCGGTCGAACAATTCGGGGGACTCAAATGCAAGGAAATTTTCGACGAAAAAACGTAAAATTTAAATCATATCGGCTGTGAGTTAGGATGTGCTTAACCGCTAAAAGTGCAAAAAAAGAGGTTATCAGTCTTTCCTTAACGAAATTGTCTGTGTTCCAGCCCATGAAAAACAGGTTCAATCGACGAGGAAGGGATTAGACTTTGTGTGTGCAAATCGATGTTATCCAGATGTGAGACAAAAAACGTAATAGTTTGGCAAACCCGAGGCGTTTCGACTCTTTGTATTGGACTATGAACTGTTTCCCCATTGACCGTGAAATACGTGCGCCCCACTGCCTCAGTGGAAAGCGAAAAGTAAAACCACACACACACACACACACACATCGTGTATCATCCTGGCTGGCAGTTAGAGCACGATCAAATTGTACTTTGACTAAACGGTCACTCTTGTCAGCCAGTACTGACTTGTGAATAGGATGACGTGAATAAACCAAGTGTTCGCTACCGCTTTGTGGCGGTGACAATTAGGCATTGCACAAGAGAGACACAACACATTTGGCAACCGATTCCAGGGACCGGAGAATGATGCACGAATGTCACACGGGGAAACGGAGTAGAAACTGCAGTCCAGTGCGTTGCCATTGTAGATGAGTAGGCAAAATGGGCTAGCCTAGGGAAAGTTTCCCCACTGTTTTGTCAGAAAAACTCACGGACAGATTTTGAAAAACCGCGTGCCATCAAAATAAGAGCGCCCGGTATGATAAAATAAATGTAGAATGCACAACAAGTGTCATCGTATCAACGGGGAACGGGTAAATGATTTAGATCGGTCATCGATCATCAGAATGACATAACTGCTGTTTTACCTTGTCAGGTACGTTAATAATACATATATGATAATAAACTATGTATGCAATTCCCGAATAAATAATATTTCAAAATAAACGTGTCATGAGTAAGTCCAGTGACAGTGGACGATTCGATAGAGTTTATACGAAGTTTCCTAGCCGCAAATCTTACTTAAACGGCGGTTAGATTCAGATGTTCAAAGTCTATGTGTGTGAGGAAGGAAGCATTCTACTAGTGTGTGTGTGTATGTTGTTTGGACAAGACTCATATAGGCTATCATCCACTACTGCCCAATGAAAACGAATAACCCACACACCTATGGGGCGATATTCACATAACTCGGCTGCTCCCGGGGCGGAGGCGGGGTAGATTCGGAATGAGATATTTTCACTTGGTCTGTAAATCAGTGCTCTATCAAGCTGATTTAAATCGTGGATATTCACTTCTCGAGTTCTAAAGAAAAATACAATGTATTCTCAGAGTGCGGTTTAATCGAACTGAGCTGAGACGAACGAATTAAATCAGCCGAATGTGCTTATTTTGAATTCGGGATGGAATCGGAAATCCCTCAGAGTTTGTGCGGTAATACCGCGCGCGGTAACATCGAGAGAGAGAGCGAGAGTAGTCACGTAGATCTCAGGCGAAAGCGATTGGCTTCCTCTATTTGTAATGTGATCATGGAATGCGGTGGGCGTGCACAGATTAATCCACGTGCCTCTCATTCAACACGACGTATTTCGCTGAACTCCAACGGGATTTAAATGTGTGAGGAAGGGATGTTGCTGACTGTCATTAAAAATAGTAACCACAGGTACAAATTGAAATCCATCGAATCAGGCATATTTTGGTTGCCCCACTGTTATAGTGTGGCGTGTATTCCGGGGTTAAAGGAATATAATCTGTCGACATTATATTCCAGGGCCCGCGATGTAAAAATAACTTAAAACCGACGCTGGGGAAAGCTGAATCACTTTGTAAACAGCCACCGATAACGTTAGATTAGGGAATCTATTTCCAATGAGACAAAGATGCCAATTTAAACATAGAAATATTATTATATGCGGAGTCAGGGGAGGTGATTTCAGAAGCAAACACGCCTGCTGTATAGATAATTATGGGTAGTAACGGTGTTCCAGACGCCAGCGGAGATGAGTTTTACCGAAAGATCTTTGTAAAAGAGCTGGATGTCTGTGAATTGCGCGTCATGAATCGTCAGGAGTATATGTACCAGAGTTGAATTTGTCCCAGGTACAAAACTAACCGCCAACATCATTATGCCAGATAGAATACGCACTCATCGATCACGAAGTCTCGGATAAAATGTCTAATGGCACACCTCACGCATCTCATCAGTATCAGTTTATTGTTCTGTAACTAGTACGGTAGATGTAACATGATTTGTTCCAGTGCCATCATACAAATCTACATGGAAACAGCCAGACAGAGGAGTAGTACATTTGCACCAGATTTAGACTATTTAATAAACCTTCAATATATGAGAGGGTAAATCTGTGCGGACGATTGAAGAGATCCTGTAGAACTTCGCCAACTCTCTGATACTCAACCGTGGGTGGTAACCCGACTCAATTTTTAATCGCTGCACTACATCCTCACCCTTACTGGAAACACATTTTTGGTGACCCAGAATAGCATAGCTCTTTAGCTCTGTGAACCTCTTGACAGAATGAACCGTGCAAATGGAATGGCATAATGAAGAACATTAGAACATTAGTAGACAGAGAATGGTGATCGAATTGCCCAAAACCACAGAGGGGGTCGAATCTAAGCGAGGTGGTGGTGGGATTCGAACCCACGTCCTCCGGGGTGATAATTTGGTGTTGCTGCCACTGGGTCGCCGCCACCCGCAACGCTGCATGGAGGACAGGCAGTGAACCCCAAACTCTCCCGGAGCCCTGATACCACGACTGATCTGACTTTTTTGTCATCAACTTATGACCTTGTTTGGGCTGCGCATTACTGTGAGGCTCGGTTATCACCAATGACGGGTGAAAATAGTTATTGCTATCGATCTGACTTGGACTGGAACCTTAGGTTCCACATGAACCGGGGCAATGGCATTCTGGTTGTTGTACATTCACTCATGGCGTGATCACACTTTGTTTACACCCGTTATTTATCGAACAAGTTCTTTTTTTTATGTCTATCAGACAAAACCTATCACGTTTACTCTTAAATTATCCACTGA